GATTAAAAATTGAGTAATAAAACATGTAAAAGATCACAGTATGATAGGATCCAACCAGCATGATTTCAATAAAGGAAAATCATGCCTTGCTAATCTGCTAGTATTCTTTGACTGTGTCAGTAAAGTAATGGTTGACTTAATTTAGACTTCCAAAAGGTCTAGGGCCCTTGCAATATACTACTGAATTGGGCAGTCATGATGGAGGCAAATTATTATAGTGGATCAAAAAGAGAGAGAAGTCTGAGTAGGAGTTAAAGGTTAATTTTCATTATGGCAAAAAACAGTGTGCAGCAACTTTCTGTACAAGAACCGTTGTTGTTTGATGTATTTTTAATAAGCTGGATAAAGGGTGAAGGGGCAAACATTTACAGATGGAACAAAATTTTTAGTCAAGTCCCATGAGGACTGAGAGAAACTCTAGAAGGTCTGTAAGCTGGGTGAATTGGCAACATGGTGGTTGATGCAATTCATTGTTCTTCTTTGACTGGTGCCCCTGTCGGTGCTCCACGGTACGTGCACTTGTGTCCCTGCGCTGCCAGAGAACTTCGGTAGCCGTGTCCATTCGGCCCGCACATGTTCCCTCCCCCCCTTCCCCTCCCCCCCTTGTGCTCTGCCATGAGGCTAACCAATGCATGCTGGCGAACCCTCCATTAGTTCCTTCTCAACCACACCTGACTAGACACGGAGCTGTTAGCAGTCCGTTCATCTGATCTTTCTCTTTCTCTTAGCACTTCAATAGTTAGTTAATCCCCTTCTTAGTTGTAGAGCTTCCTTTATTTTCTTTCTTTTTTTGGGGGGGGGGGACTTTTTATTTTCCCCCTGTGTCTGGGGTTGCCCTAGCATGGGGTATGCCTGGTTCACCAGACTTTGAGGTGTGTCTCATGCAAGGAAGTTATCCCTATAACAGATAAACATTCCTGCTGCATCTATTGCCATGGGGAAAGCCACATTTCCCAAAAGCGGGTTCTCTGCCAACATCTCAAGTCAATATCTTGGAAAGACAGAGAACTGAGACTAAAACTCCTCCTCATGGAGGTAGCTCTTCAGCCTTCCCCGGACCCAAGCCAGGAGTCACCCAAATGGTGCAAATCTTCCCCTCTTCCCCACAGCCCTCAACATTTATAGACTATGGGTTTAAGAAAACAGTCGCAGACCCCTCATTAAGTCTTCAAACAAAGAGGGCCATGAGCTCCCTGAGTGAGCCCTGAGCTAGCTGAAAAAGGTCACTGTCTTGTTTGGTATCATCGATACTGACAGTACGGAGAAGTCTAAACATGTCTAAACATTACCCATAGCTAATGAAGGTCTGAAGCAGCAGGAACGATTGCTGCATCTAAGGACCTGATGGGCATATGCACCAAAGCAACAGTAATGGCAGATAAAAGCAGAAACAGAGACAGTACCACCGCTAAGATGCTGCTGCTGGTATGAGTGTTACCATTAGCAACACCAAGAATGAGCCATCCAGCCTCTAAGCACTCGGTACGGCCCAGATCACTGATCCCTTCATTGCTGCTGGCCCACCAGCAAGCACCATCGGCACCAAGTAGGTTGGCACTTCAGGAATTTAGACACTCTAGAGACCTCATGGTATCTGACATACCAAAGTTTCCCTTGCTCTGTACCAGTGCTAAGTTTACTTTGGACGCTGGACTCTCCACCAGTACCATGTCATGCACCTCCAATGGTGACTCGGAATAGCGAACAGGAGGAGGTTGTTTCCTGTCACTCCTCCCATGTTCCTAATAATGCCCATTACCAACCTGTTTGCTCCTCAACCAACATGGTATGGCCAACAATAAGTGCCACTACCGGAACCCCTTCCACCGCCCCAGTGGCCCTACTGGGATCCCTGGGCGACATACAGACTCCACGCCTCACGAGCATCTAGTGTGGCCCACCATAAGCCTTTGAGACGCTCTTCCTCAGCTGTGGTATTCAGAGTCTCTGAACGTCCAGAGGAGATCCTGGAGGGAACAGGAGGATGGATTCAAGGAGAACCAACATCTCGTCCTCCTCTCCAGAGAAAGCAGTGATGCCCCCTCTGCCATCCCTAGCAGATGACTTTAGGCTATTTCAAGAGCTAGCTAAAAGGGTGGCAGACACATTGCAGGTACCTCTTGAGAAGATAAGAACCTATCGGAAAATCCTGAATATCTTGCACTCCTCTTCTTCCAGAATAGCCCTCCCCATCAATGCGGCCCTTCTGGACCCAGATAAACTTATATGGCGAACCTCGGCATCAGTCATGCTTATCTGCACACAGGCATATCTTTATGCTTCAGCTGCCATTCCAGAGGTCATGCGTCCATGCTGCTGACAGGTTCTGCTTGGTAACAGTCCAAAGCAGTGCGGACCAACGGCATGTTCATTTTCATCATCTGACTCAGATGCCACCAGCAGAAGGTTGATTTTCTTTTTTGGTGGTTTGGGTTCTGTAGTTTCAGCATCAGGGTGTTACTCTTTTAAGGCTTCTGAAAGCATGCTCCACACCTCATCCCTCTCAGATTTTGGAAGGCACTTCAGATTCTTAAATCTTGGGTCAAGTTCTTTAGCTATCTTTAGAAATTTCACATTTGCATCTTTTTTTCATTTTGTCAAATCTGAAGTGAAAGTTTTCTTAAAACAAACATGTGTTGGGTCATCATCTGAGACTGCTATAATATAAAATATATGGCAGAATGCGGGTAAAACAGAACAGGGGACATACAGCTCTCCCCAAAGCATGAAGAGGCACATAAATCTTTAGTGCATCTGGCATGTAAATATCTTGCGACTCCAGCTACAAAAGTGCAAACACTTGTTCTCCCTTTCAGGTGACATTGTAATTAAGAAGTGGGCAGCATTATCTCCTGTATGTAAACAAACTTGTTTCTCTTAGCAATTGGCTTAACAAGAAGTAGGACTAAGTGAACTTGTAGGCTCTAAAATTTTACATTTCGTTTTTGAGTGAAGTTATATAACAAAAAAACCTATATTTGTAAGTTGCACTTCCATGATAGATTGCGCTACAGTACTTGTGTGAGGTGAAATGAAAAATACTATTGTTTTTTTTACAGTGTGTATACTTGTAATCAAAAATAAATATAAAATGAGCAATGTACACTTTGTATTCTGTGTTGTAATTGAAATCGATATATTTGAAAATGTAGAAAAACATCCAAAATATTTAATGAATTTCAATTGGTATTCTATTAACAGTGTGATTAATTGTGATTGATTTTTTTAATCTCCATTAATTTTTTTGAGTTAATCGCGTGACTGTGATTAATTGACAGCCCTAGTTTTGGGCCATTGTTAGTGAGGGACAACTGGTGGCCAATACAGCATTCCAGTCAGCGTTTTTTGCAGCTGACGCTGCAGCCCGGTCTAATCTCTACAGCAAAGGTTATGTGGCGAGCATCCTGGTTGCACCTGTCTGGCTTCCCTAAGGAAGTACACACTACAGTAGAGGACCTCCCCTTGGAAGGCACCAAATTGTTTGCCGAGAAGACTGACACATTCCTCCATATGCCTAAAGACTACAGGGCCACACTCTGGTCATTAAGGATTTATACACCTGGACAAAAAAGAAAACGTAGTCCGCAACCTCAGCATAAATCCCATGCACCACATTTCCCAATGCAACACTGTTATGAGCCTCCAAGATAAAAATGCAGATTTTCCAAATGTAAACCGTCAGGCCCACAGTCTTCCTCTTCACAATCACTTACCTCAAAACATCAGTTTTGACATCTTGGTTGAGGTGCCGACAGACCACTCCCCTCAGTCAACTGCAGCTGACCAGCCCTTCACACCTATTTGGGTACCTCCTTGCTTCATTCCACAACTGGTAAAGAACAATATCTGACCAATGGGTTCTGGAAATTATCCACAATAGGTACTCCATCCACTTCACCTCCTCCCATCCACTCCCAGCACCCTTCTCCATCTCTGTTCAGGGACTCTTTTCCTGAGAGTTTATTATGACAAGAAATAGATCACCTTCACTGTCTAGGAGCCATAGAGCCTGTACCTCAACACCGAGGTGGCAAAGATTTCTACTCTCGTTATTTCCTGATACTCAAGAAGAAGGGAGTTGGAGACCCATACTGGACCTCAGAGGACTGAACAAATTTGTCAAGGCTCAGAAATTCAGGATGGTCACAGTAGCAGTGATTATTTCATCTTTGGAACAGGGAGATTGGTTTTCGGCCCTCCATCTGCATGATGCCTATTTCCACATATCAATCCTACTTTCTCACAGACAATTTCTCAGATTTATCCCAGGCCAGGACCATTAACCAATACAGAGTATTCCTCTTTGGCCTCTCATCATCTCTGAGAGTGTTCTCCAAGGTCCCCTCCGTAACGGCGGCTCACCTAGTCTCCCAGTGGATTATGATCTACCCCTACCTGAATGCTCGTTTCCTCAGAGCTCGCTCCTTCAGCAAGGCTTGCCAGGTTACTTAAACTTCTGTAGACTTGTCTTTGGAACCGGATCTACAGATCAACGTCCAAAAATAGATGTTCACCCTTGTACAGCTGTTCGTAGAAACCTTTTGTCAGCCTAGTCAGGCTCTTTAGTACTACATTTAGGTCCCTTGTTGGAGTAGGATGTCTGGGTTGGGGGAAAAGGTTTACTATACCCCTGAGGAATCTATTTGTGGTTGGGTGGGAGAGCACTGAGTACCCTGATATTCTGTGATTCTATGGGTGAACTCCTCCCGTTGGTGTAGGCAATGTCTACACTGAAGTGCTACACAACTGTGTTGCTGCAGCGTTTCAAATGCAGATAAGCCTGAAGCCATCAGATTTGACAGTTTTTAAGACTTTATGTCCAATACATTCTATTGCCTGCTAAAAACAAATATTGTTCATTTAAATCTTGGTTTAGCAATGTCCATCTAAATATGTTAATTGCTTTGTTTTTAATGCAATGTTATGTTCTAGGCTTCTTTTTGTGTTTGGTATATACTGCTCAGATTATTTAAATAGGTATGCATATCTTTTATGTGCAGGCTTATCAGTAACAACAGAGCAAATAAATCCTCATGGTTCCAGTGTACGGAAAACAGAAACTAGAGTTGAAGAGGCATTTCGGAACAAACAAAAAAATGCAATAGCGGTTTGGCATAACTCTGCAAATAAATGTGCATGTGAGTACTTCAGATCACATTGTATCAAAGTGAGAGCACTAGCCCAGAGAGCAATGACCAGGGATTTGATATACACCTAGAAAAGGACTATTATTTCTGTAAAATACCTGTTTTAGTTAGTGATTTCTTTTATTTCCCCTGTAGAAATAGCTCTTGTGTCTTTAAGAGGCATCCATTTTCCAACGTCATTAAATCTCTGCTTAGGCAACCATTGAAAGGAAGTGGAAAGCAGGATTTCAAACTGTTTTTGCAATGCAAAAAATACAAGTATTGCAATAGCTTTAAAATATTTTTTTCAGTGTAAAATAATTCTAACCCCAGAAAAAGATAATTTTTTATTCATCTTAAGAAGGTTTTCAATTTACGATCTTTGTGTTTCACATTTGTACATAATTAAATATTTCCTGTATTAAATGGTCTATAAGGCAGTTTTTTATGGTAGAAATTAGGCTTTAATTTGCTTGCAGGAATCCAGTTGTGAGCAACTAAAGTGTCCAGTGCTGAAAGCTGATGGGCACCCTCAACTTACCTCATTTAAATAAATGGAAGATGAGGTTGTCCAGCACCTTGCAGAATCAGGACATCAATTCTAAAGTACAAAAGTATCTTGTATTATGTTTGATGGTATGCTGTATAGGTTTTCTGAATGTGGTTTAGGTAATAATAGGGACTAACAACTATTCTTGAGACGTTTACTGATAAACATAATTAAATGAGCTGCAGTGAGCTTGGTTATAAAATTGTACTATGTGAGCTTATTTGACCAACCAGAACAAGGGGGCATATCAGAGGTAATGTGTGGGGGCAATTCACTGAGACTAGTGAATGAGCTTCCAGTTGAAACTGTGGGGTCAGTTATAAATATTTAAGCAAAAACTGGATAACTTCTTAAGGATGTTCACATAGATCGAAGCGGGAAATTTTTTCTCTGATCTTTCCTTTTTCTCCAGTGTACTTTTGGGGGGAAGGGGCTGTGTGTATGCATCCGTCCGTGCATGAGTGTTCGTCCCAGGATATGAGACGCACAAGGTGTGGTAACATTTTATTGGACCATCATCTGTTGATGGAAGAGATAAGCTTGAAGAAGAGATCTCTGTAGCTTGAAAGCTGGTCTCTTCTACCAATAGAAGTTGGTCCAGTAAAAGATATTATTCCCTCACCTGCTTTGTGTGTTTTTGGCATGATGATGATGCTACCTTCCTGGCACCAAAAAATGTTTTGGAAATATATAGGATAGATTTGGCATCAAATAATTCCAGTCTGTGGCCTGTATTTGTGGCCTTGTTTCTTGCCCAGTCCTTCAGTTCCTATGCTTAAGGAATTAAATAATCAGCAATATGAAGTAACTGTTTGTCTGAGATGTTCTAAAATAGTGGAAGCAGAAGTTTGCTTTCTGTGTTCTCATTTTGCCACATGAATAAAGAAAAATGTGGACACTACATAAAAATAGAGGTAGAAAAGAAGGTGGTCCATGATTGTTTGCACTCAGTCCTTATGTGCCCTAAATCAGATTGCCACACTGTGGTCCATAGAGTGCTTCCTGGTGGTCTTTGAGGTGCTGTGCTGCTGGTTCCTTCCTTCATTTCCAGCCAGGACACTTGTGGAAAGGAGGGTCAGTGCCACTAGTCACTATTGTATTAAAAAAACTTGCTGCTTCCTTCCTCTCTCTTCCTGACCCTCTATAGGTGACGCGCTGGCCGTTGCCTCAGGGGTACAGCGAGGAGCCATCAACGGAAGGAACTGCCAGCTTCTCCAATATATAAGTGCAAACTGAGCTAGTGTCAAGGCACTGTCCTCAGGAAGATCTGGAACTATGGAGAGTGGGAGAGAAGAAAACTACAGGGCTGGCTGAGATTTGGGAGCAGGCAGGAGGCAGTCAGTAACCTAGGTGGTAAGAAGGGAGCTGTGTTAGGCTGCTGCAAGGCTGGGGTGAGGTATCTGGGAACTAGAGGAAGAAATGGAGAATTAAATGAATAGCCAGGATGGACCACCAGTATCTTGGGGAAGAGGGTCAAGGAGGTGGAGGCACAGGATCTGGAGACTAGGGAGAAAGAACTGTGGGGCTTGGGGCCCAGAACAAGCATGAGAAAGAAGTTGGAAGCAGGGAAGGGAGTGAGGGGACGGCCTCAAGCAAAGGAAGAGCAGGACTAAGCAAGGAAGAAGGGAGCTTGAATGGCAGCAGATTGTGGGGCAGGACTGATTTTGTGAGATGGTGGTAAAACAGATTGCAGAAGATAATCTTAGAATCACAGAAACGTAGAACTGGAAGGGACCTCGATAGGTCATCTAGTCTAATCCTCTACATTGAAGCAGGACTAAGTATTATCTAGAAGATTATTTTGTTTATAGAAAAGCAAAAAGGAAATCCTTTGGAAGAGAGATTAAAACTGAAGTACCTTCTACAGATTTCTGGTGACTGTCATAATGTGTGGATAGTTTGTGTGTGATTGGTTTGGAAAGGACTGATTCTGAATGGAGGGGGAATATTTTAGAGCCAGAGTAGGATGTTTTGTGATTTACAGGTCAGTGAAATTCGGAGGGGATGAGGTAGTCTTTGCTATCAAAAAAATTTGGCAACATTTGACTTAGAAACTTAATAGTAATATCAGAAAATGATTGATATAGTTTGATTATATGGGACTAAAACTGTTCTTTATAGTTAACATTTCTGAAACAGACTTCCATTTTTTTCTTTAAGGCTGAAACTAAATTCAATTTTTCCTTATAAATGATGTTGATCTAGCTTTGATGTAGTCTTTTTGTATGCAATTGCAGCATCTTCCTGATCAATTTTCTCTTCCAGGAGATTTGTTTATAACATTTAGAGAATAGTTGCCAAAAATTGGGGTAAGTCATATGAAACATATAATAATAAACCCTTTTATAAAGCAAGCTGTTGCGCATCTTCTCCTTGGGAACCATACTGGAGAAGAGACTTTTTTTTCCCCCTCAGATATTTCAGTGGCTTTGCAAAATTGTAAAAAAAAAGAATGATTCTTTATGCAAAACTACTATTAAAACAAGTTTAGCAAAGAGTTGCAGTTACATTTTATCAAATAAAGATTTATGGTCAAGAATAACCAAGACTAGTGCATTTTTTTATATCACAAAGTCCTATCATTTGGATTTCACCTATTTACTACTTTGTGAAATTGGTGCCATACTTTTAATTTTAATGTTAGTAATGTATTTTGGAATGCTTGTTTATCACTGATTAAAGCTCAAGGTCTCTCTCTATACCAGTGCAATTGTGTTTCTCAGGGTTAAATGACATGGTGAAAAAGGCAGTTGAGCTGCTTCTAGATTGTGACTTCCACTTTTACTACCATTGGTTGAAGCTATGTCACATTGTAGACGACCTAAAAGGGTTATCCTAATAGGAACTGATGAAAATTCATCCCTGAAAATACCAACTGATTGATACCTTCAGCTTGGCTCAGTTTAGCCTATTCTTTATTATGAACTACATTCTCTTCTGATATGTTGTTATCCACTGAAGTAAATGAAGTAATTCTGGATTTATACCAAGAGCTAAATTTGACCATATGCTTCTGATTGTGTTTGCTACTTCTCTTGTGCCTCACTATCCATATTGTGAAGTTCAGTGTTGGCATTTTCATAATATCCTTGGCATACTGTTTTCACACTTTGAGTTGATAGTTAATTCTACTTCACGTTACCTTGAAAACATGGATCATTCTTACAGTCAGGCCTCTGAGATATTTTTCTTTTTTACTGTCAGTCAGATTTCTTAAGCAATAATTTAAGTGCAGGGTAGACTTTTCAGTTTTGTGCGTAAAATATTTGTGTAGGGTCAGAATCTTCTTTTACTGGTACTTTTGAGGGGTATATCTTGCCTTTTCTTTGGTATTAAGTTCTGCATCATTTTCCAAAGCTGTTAGAGCTCTGCTGTCTATACAGACAAAACCCAGTGTTTACTAAATATATAAAAGAAATTGGTAGAGATTGCAATTATAAAATGAAGCTATAGCAATTCTGAGGTCCTGGCGAGCAAATAGGCCATGTAGTGTCGGATTAAAATTAATTTAAAATAAATACCAAAAATATAAAATCCCAACACGGTTTGTTATCCCTAGTTCAGTTACACTGGTGGCTGTCCTAGGTAGGGTGTCCAGATAGCAAGTGTAAAAATCGGAGAAGGGGGTGGTGGAGGGTAATAGCCCCCAAAATCGGGACTGTCCCTATAAAATTAGGACATCTGGTCACCCTAGTCCTAGGCTCTGGCAGCTTTCAATGTTTTTACAATTATGTACACTAAATCTGGTAGTACCAATGGGGAATATTTGCTAAAAATAGCTTTGTGTACGCCCCACGTACCCTGGCAAAATAGGGAACCTATAATTCATCAGATCCACCAGTGATAGCAATAAGGAAAGATGTAGTGTAGACAGGACTCAGGGGTGTTTTACCACCATGGCATCTAAGTTTGCCCTATGTGGAGGTGACACTGATGTGACTTGCGTGTAAGTTTTGTGGGAACACACCAGTGACATGAGTGAAGGGTGAGTGGGGTTTACAGTGGTATGACATGAGTGACAGAGGGGCGTGTGTGTGTGAGAGAGAGAGAGAAGTGGATGAGACAGTGCTGGTGGTGTGTCTTGTCCCGGGTAGCTGGTAAATTAGTCATTGCTGAAGCAGTTTAAAATATACGTTTTGGAGGCTACAACAGCTAGAAGTGCCCCTTTAACTATTGCAAAGTTGCTGTAATAAAACTTAGTTCATATTGCTGTGTCGTGCCAGTAGATGGAGCATGTAGCACATTATTTTGCTGTCTTACAGTCAGATGCTTCAGTGTTGCATCCAGATGGTCCCTGTGGGGAAGATTTGCTTTTTTTGCTGTATTCAATAGTACTGTATTAAATTGGTGCAGTAGACTGACCAAGTGCTGTTCTGCTTGCATAAGAACCTGCACAACTTGTTATGTGGAATGAGAGGTGCTCCAAATGTCTTATCCGTGTTTGACAATTGCAGAAAGGAGA